GGAAAATGGAATTAAAAGATGATGGAACTTTTCCTTGAATTTTGAAGCACTCTCATATTTCTTTGCGATGGGTGTGACATACTACATACAGTACATCCATGTATTTGGAATCTGCTTCATCATTGCCCTCTAAGATTAAAACTAAGAACAGGATTAAACTCCTAGATCAAGATCAACTCAAACTGAAGTAGACACAAACGAATTAGAGCAACAAAAGCCTGTCGTTGATGTTGCTCAGTGCTGGCGAGGCAGTTCCAACTGACAGTGACCTGATGTACAAGAGAAGAAAACGGCCCGCCCTTCGCCATCCCCACAACTGCTCTTATGTCTGAGCCCATCGACGCAGCTACCGTGTCAACCTAGCTTGTCCAAGCGCTTCTTCCGCGTTTTTGCTGCCAGCTACTACACCAAGCTTGATGTCCTTCTCCAAGGACCGGTGTCTCTGGAAAAGATATGTCCAAAGTATGTGAAACAAAGTATTATACCCCTGCCTCTAAGGAGCATTCTGGCTGTACTTCTTTCAGGACAGATTTATGTGTTCCTTTGGCAGGCCATGGTACTTCCAATATTCTTCTTCAGCACCATAATGCAAGCGTACGAATTCTTCTTCGGTTTTCCGTATTCAAGACCCAACTTTTATATCCATATGATGCAAGTGAAAATATCTTCAAAGTAGCATCCTTGCTGTCAATTGAAAAGGGTCTTGTGCAACAGACTTACCCAGTGCGATGCTTCCTGTGATCTCTTGACTGCTGCTTCCATGAGCATGGACTATGGATTCAAGCAAGAAAAAATTCTTGACTGCTTCAATCTTTTTTCCATTTATCAAGATACTACCGATTTGGCCAGTTATGAGGATTTTTGTCTTCCTTACATTGAGTTGTAATCCATACAGAAGGCTGCAACTCTTATCTTCATCAGCAAGTGCTTCCAGCCCTATTCACTTTGAGTAAGCAAAGTTGGATCATCTGCATATCATAGGTTATTACTGAGCCTTCCTCCAACCATGATACTGCATCTCCTTCATATAATCCAGTTCCTCTAATTATTTGCACAGCATACAGACTGAATGAGTACGGTAACATGATACAACCCTGACACATATTTTCTGATGGTAAACCATGCAGTATGCCCTTCTGTTTGCACAACTGCCTATTGATCAATATACAGGTTCTGCATGAGCATAATGCAGTGTTTGGGGATTCCCATTCTTCTCAACGCTAGCCATAATTTATTATGGTCTACACAGTTGAGTGCCTTGACATAGTCAATAAAACACATGTTAACATCTTTCTGATATTCTCTGCATTCAGCCAAGTTCCATCTGACATTAGCAATAATATTTCTTGTTCCACATCCTCCTCTAAATGCAGTCAGACTCTCTGGCAGCTCACTGTCAATGTACTGAATGGTACTGAAGGTGTAAGTTCAAAATGTACTGACAGAATCAGCTAAAACCATGGGTAACAGTCCAGTGGTATGGACCTGAAGAAAAAGAGTGGCCAGTGGACCGATGATCCAAAGGCAAATTTTATTTCCAAAGTACAGTTTTATATATAATGAGGCAAGGGTACATAGCATTCCTAGTCTAACAATAACATTGTGATAAAATGCTCTAAGCACAAATAGTTCCTTGAGCGTAATCTCATCCTAACAAATGCAGCTGTGTTCTCAGTGTACTCAGGGCATCTCGGAATGAGGCCAAACATGACCATCATCCCAGCGTTCTGGGCTACACAGTGTCCCCAAGCATCCAAAGGAGTCGACAATAAAACTCCGTCACTCTCCCTTTTTAATTTTATAGCTAACGCTGAAGAGCTAAAAAAAAAGCAGCTATCTAACAAAGCTGTGGGTTTTTTCTAATAGGCTGCAGGTTACAGAACATTTGGTTTACCTGGACCTGCAAGCTTGGGATCACCCTGTTTTCTTCTGCTCTCATTGCAAACCTCTTTCCTTATCATTAAAGGAGACAGGGTACTGACAGATTGCCGCTGGGCTTGCTCTGAGTTTAGCTGAACTTCAGTTGGAGGCAAGTGGGCTGCAAGCCCAGGAGGGTTATCTTCTGCCCAAACGCCCTCATATGCTCTAGAGTCACTCCATGGCTTCCGAAATTGTTGGAAAAGCAACTGATACCTTTTAACCAGCTGATGAAGTGCTGGAAGCACTCACTCATCTCGGCCAGGAAATTGGATGACAGTTACTTGCCCAGCTGACTGGAAAAGATCCATATTTGTACCCATTCCAAAGAAAAATGACCCAACGGAATTCTCTACAGAACAAAAGCTTAGAACAAGTCAACTCAGAGGACCAGCTGAGTAAGACTCTAATTATTCTGATGCCAGCAGAACTCATTTTAGAATGCAAAGTAAGAGATAAAGCAAGACAAAAGGGACAGAACAGGCTTAAAGAGACTCCAAGTTTGATTCAAGGATGCTGACAACAGCTATTTTGTAAACAAAATGAATAATCATTTTGATTTTAAGTAAAGAATCTTCAGTATGATTACCTGAGCAAAAGCAATAATTCCATAGGCATCATCATTGGAGTTAATAGTTATCTTCACGTAGCTATCAATACCAATCTCTGCTCCTCCTTTGGGATTTTTAAGCTGAACTCTGAAGGACTCTTCTTCTTCTGGAAGCACATCGTCAAGGATATTTACCACTATTACAGCTTCTTTGTCTCCTGGTTCAAATATCAGCTCACCTGAACTAGTAACATAAGAAACACAAAGAATAAGTCAACTGCAACAAATTTAAGAAATAAACATAGTGGCTTACTCATGAATCTCTAATAATAATTAACACTGTAGATTCCTAAAAGTCAAATCCTAACTTAAAATTTCAATATAACTCAATTTAACAAAATAGATATTAGAACTAGGACAATTGCCAACTTTCTGGCTTATCGTGCACTCGTATTTCATATAAATCTCAGTCTCTAAATATACATTTGGTGGCATAAAGTAAGAAAACACTTGGCACAGAATGTGGAGCCTACCTAGGAATGAAGTCCGACTGCCTGGAGATGTAGGTCAGCTCATACATGTGGGAGTGGGGCGCTCCTGCTAACGTAATTAAGCTCTTGCTTGCATTAAGGGACTTCACTGTCACAGACGCTGCAGCCTGAGCGGATGGGGCTCCCAGAACGAAAGAGAACTGACTCAGCTCTGAGTTCCAGCAATAAAGAGCAGACCCGTCTCGGCCAAGGAGAAGTATGTGGACTGCAGGAGTGAAAAGAAGACAAAACGCTGAATCGGAAGCAGCGACCTAAGCAACTCCCTATATCAAACCCAAAGCAAACCAAAGCACAACGCTCAGAAGTCCACGTGGGCTTTTGAAACAATTCAACATAGTTCAGCTTCTGAAAGAAATGAATGTAAACAACTTCCAACGGCTCATGGACTAAGCAAATCAAACTGACAAGGCAAACAAAACCTATGTCATAAATCAGCAGTTGGCAAAACCCTAAAGGGATTCTTACTCTTTTGTGTTTTTCTCAATATTTATTTTTAAGATAGTAAGGTGGTTTGTTTTTGTTTTTTTGTTTTGGGGTGGG